GAACAGGCCCATCTCTGCTATGAGGAAAGCTCTGACAGCTCAACCTGGAGAAAAGAATGCTCGGGTGAATCTCGTCAACACATACAACTATCTGAAAAGAGACGGAAAGAAGATAAAGCAAGGCTCACTTGAGCAGTACCCAGTGACAGGATGGTAATGGGCACAGCTGAAAGCACATGAGGTTCTGTCCACAAGCCAGGGATTACTTTTTTATGATCAGGGCGACTAAGAACAACTGCTTGTAAAGGTTGTGCAGTCTCCATCCTCAGAGGTGCTCAAAAGCCGTCTGGACATGGGCCTGGGCAGCTTGCTTTAGAAGACCTACCGTGAACAGGGGGTATTGGACCAGATACCTCAAAACTCTGTGATTCTGTCCATGGATACATGTAAGCTTACAATATCTTCTATTTAGCCATGTAGGATGGCACTTGCAACTAGCTGCTGAAAAAACATCTACAACTTCCTGACTATTCAGGAAAAATAGTATCTAATTAATTACCTAAGAAAAAGGAATATGAAATCTCTATTAAATGTTTGTAATTTGTGTGCTATGCATATAATTAGTGGAAAAGAACCAATACAAGTCCTTTTTTTGCTCCACTGACAATTCATAATTTTGGAATAGTATACTGTTTGCTGGCTATGACTATATACTTACATACACTCCTGTGGTCACTCCTGTCCTCTGAAAGAACATTCACTATATTGCTAAGTCATTCCTGTAACATCTTTTCATCCAACTTCACACACTGAAACGATCCAAAAGAAGCCTCTCACCACCTACAAACCCTAAAATATATGTTCTAACACTTGCAAATACAAATTCCCTTAAAATGGCCTTACTGAGTCTCAAGTTATCTATATTGAAGGACTGATCTGTCGTAGTAATTTGAGTGCAACAAAACTCTACATTCCATGAAAGAGTGGAAGAGAATACTCAACAATTCCGCATTTACAAAAAGAAAGGAAAGAAAAAATGGAAGATCAGCAGTAGCTCTAAAAGGAACAAAATAGCACTTCACTTTCAGACTGCCCAAGGCTGAAATAGAGGTTGGGTATCAAGCATAAAATAAACACTGATATAAAAGGAAATAAGCAAGTAGAAATCACATCGTAACACCACCACAGAAACAGAACGCAACAACTTACAGTAACAAAGTGCCAAAGTGCTCCTAATAAAGAAATCAGTCTGAAAATCTTTCTGTTTGTCAATCACAGATGAGCATGCAAGGATGGATAACAGACACATGCTTAACACAGCACAATTATGTTTCACTATGGGATTGATTTAAAATTAGATGGATACATAAATAAATGAAAAGTCCCAGTTTGTACGGAGACCTTGTGAAATGAACCACATGGTGCTTCTTACAAATTTCTTCATTAAGACCTTCATAACAACTTGATAAATAGTTTTCTGGTAGAGATATGCGGGAATGGAAATGATAACTTCATTAATATTTCTTTCTCATAAAGATAAAAAGTATCCTTTTATTAACTCGAAGGAGACTCTTTGGAGGTACAGCAAATATTTTTAATTACCTATTGATTATAGTAAGTTCATTTTGAAAAGTGGAGTTCTTTGAAATGGTACAAATAACAGTTCTTTTGCTTATTATGAAATGCCATTTTAGGACATTACTGCGAACCTGGAGAAGGGTTAAAGGTATGCCTGAGAGCCAGGCCCTTGTACACCCACACTCAGAAGCTATGAGGGAGTCTTACTGACCTCTGAATTAAAACCACAGCTTTCAAATGGCTCTTTGTGAACATCTTACTGTTAATTCCCATTTATGGTACCACACAGCATGGATATCCATGTGCTTGGAGTGTTCTAATTTATTACGGGATGGGCATTTTTAAGTCAGAAAAATAGTCTTCGGAGGGCTACTCAGGAAAAAAAAAATCATATTTCTTAATATATAGTATGTTGACCATAAGAAGTAGTCTACTTACATTGCACCTGCTGTTACATAAACCTGCTGTTTATCTTATAGTCTCCATATTTGTCTGTCATATGTTCCCTCAAAAAGGCATTCTTTTACAGAAGAGTACACTCAGAGAAAAAAAGCAGAGCTGTAAGGATCATGTCACTGGTCCTACTGTTTACCATTATCTTCAAGGTTTTAGATTTGATTTACATCGCGTTCCTCCCTATTTGACTTTAATTGTCTGCTTCAAGTTGTCAGGACATAACTATATCTTAGATTTGCATTGCATTAGGGGATCTTTTCCTTTCTCTATTGATCTTGTCTTATGGAGTAATTTAACTCAATTCTAATTTTCTTTTGCATGCGGGGTGCTCTTTTTCGAAGGAAGTGAGTTATGTGTATTCAAGTGGTGCATCTTATGAATCTTGTTAAGCTTTACCGCCTTATAGCCCACACTGATGGAATATTTAATCACAGAAATGAGTTGGCAGATATGATGTACAATACGGTTAAGCCTTGCGGCGTGTGTCTTCACCAGCAATTGAGAAACGGGTGAATTTGCCATTCATCACTGCCATCCTGACAGCTTTGTATAACCTTCTGGGATTTTTTTTTTTTTACTTATTTATGAAGATTAAAGGTACTTTAAATCAACAGTTTTTCTAGAAATATTTCATTTTTATTTCAGAAGTGGCCAAATTTTTCATCATTTATTAGAGCAGAAGAAATTTCTTGCACAGACTGTGGAATAGATGGAATAGACTTCAACATGACAGCATTGGAGACAATAATTAAACCAAGTGACTGTAACTTTAACTGTCTTAAAAAAAATCACATTTCTAAATTTAAAACCTTCATAAGTGAAACTGCTTCTTTTCCAGGTAAGGCGGGTGGATGCATAAATAAAGATATGCCACAGCATTCCATTATGGCATAGAAGAACTATTTCATTTTTAATGACTTTAAGAGTTTGTGCACAGTTTTTTTCTGTTTGCTTATTTTAATCTATATTGCTTAAAGGAATCTTTAAACATCTGTGAGACAAAAGTTTATTTCAGTCATTACAGAAAATATGCAAAATAAAAAGGTCTGTATATGTACACAGAAAAAAATACTGAAATACATTAAGTATCCTGGATAGAACTTTCTGCATAGGTGTGGTAGAGTGCATGGCATAATTCATAAAATTAAATTAATACTCTTCTAATGGTAATTAAAGATTCTCATTAAGAAGGGCAAACACCTCCCTTGCGTTGGCAATAAAAATGCACTTGGGACTTATACAAAAAAAAAAAAATCAATAACCTGCCATTTTATAATTAAAAGAAAAAATAAATGTTAGGAAAAAATCCAGTAAATTAAGAAAATTACCTTCAGGAGAGATTGAAAATATTGATTTTAATTTACAAACTATGTGAACTCTTCATGCCCTACTTCATGAGACAATTATAAGTCAGACTGTTAATTCTGCATACGTATTAGAAAATTGATTACTGTACTATGGAAATATTATTATATTTGTCATTAACACAAAGTCATTTATATAAAATGACTAATAACTCTGACTTCCTAATTTATGCAGGTTCAGGGTTGGTTCACCAACTCCTCACACAAGATCAATGTTAAATTCCTGTTTTCAGTGTAGGTATACATCAAAGAAGGAAACAAATTCCACCTGCACCAAATATTGCCCTTCTATGAATACCAGCTTAGTGTTTCTATTATTCTTTCAGAATGCAATTTGTATTGTTTCTCTATTTCAGTAGTTGGCACTGCACATATTACAGGCAGCTTCTTTAAAATAAGAATTCGTTTATAACATTTCTATAATGTAGCTCTATGCAACATTTTTTCTCTCTTGAAAATCCCTGAACTAACCAAACATTTTCAGTTTTATCCAGTGGAGGCTTAAGTATCTCCAAGGATGAAGATTCCCTAGCATCTGTAGGCAACCTCTTTGCATGCTTAACATGCATGTTAGTGAAAAGCATTTGCCTAATACCTACTGGAAACTTCCCCTGTTTCAACTTGCGGTAATAAATACATTGTACAATTACTTCTTTATTTTTCATTACCTATATGTGTGACAGTGGATTAACATTTTTGTGTTTTAAAATATGAACTGAAATTTTATCCTTTCTACCTGATAAGTGTCTACACAACCAGGCACAAACAACTAAAAACAACTAAAAAAACAAAATGGAAAACAAGATTTCCCAATGATTCCCATGAAATTCACAGGATGTTTTACGTGATCTGGAAACCTAAGAAAGGAAAACAACTATACAACCTTTGCAGCTACAGGGATCATTTCTCCCTAAGTTACAAACTATTAGTTTATTTAAAAAAAAAAAAAAAAAAAAAAAAAAAAGTCATTTTTGGATTTTCTACAGGCTATGGGTGTGATTTGGGATTCAAGTTCTTCTATAATCAAATTGATTTTGGTATACACCCACATTTTCAGTGCTGTTGCTGCAGTGTATTTACAAATTGCTGCTAGCAATGGAAAAAGGCTGAATCTCATCAACTCGAAGTTGTACCAAGGATTAGAATTGTCTTAATAAAGCCTATATTACAAATACAATCATTTTACAAGACTGATTAACCAAATACAAAATTTAAAGAAAAATGTTCAAGAAAAAATTAGGAATGGAGTTCATAATTCTATACATTTGTCTGAATATCTGTATCTTATATATATATTTACGTATTTACAGATAGATATTTTTTGTTGTTGCCTAAGCTCAAGTAATTCATGATACCAAATGTCTGTACTGAAATATAAAAATAAAATGAAATAAAAAATAAAGTATAAAACAACTAAAAAAATCTCATGAAAAGCTGCAATAATGCAGTTCGTGTTTTGCTATCCAACAAAAGACACTCTGGTATCTTCTACATTAACTTCAGTATTCCCAAATAACTGCCAGAACCTTCTTAATAAATCTGCAAACGACTGGCAGGGAGCGTAAGTTAAACAAAGAAGCCAAATCTTACACGAAATGTTCAGTCTGTACTTAAACATGTTTAAATAAAACACAGCACAGACAAGTGCAGTTTAATTCTTACCTGCATAGAATTCTGGACTATAAACCGCACCAACAACTGGATTTAATTTCCAGCCTGCAGCAAACATAAAAACATAACGGAGTTAATACTGCAATTACTGATAATAATAATGTATTGTTTATTTATTTATTTTTAATAGAAACACACCTAAAATGCATTCAAGGTCATTTTAATAGAAGTTTTATAGATGTCTTAGATCACTGATCTTTAATATCAGAATACTCTGATTCTCAAGTATGGAAAAAAGTAATGAAATAAATCATTATCTGGATATTTCAATATTACAAGTAGTACTGGAGCAAATTATCAGGTGAACTAGCTTAGTTGAAATGCACGGCTACCATGATCTTATTGCCTTAAGTTACACAATTACATCAGAACTAGCTCAGGTATCACTATATCATGTAATAACAGAATAGATCAGTTCTTTTTCATTGCTTTAGATCTCCAGTTACACACCAGTGAGGCCAAAACAGCTCATTTGCTGGACACAGGGTACTTCTGCTAAGCGTGCGTTAGCGTATATTACAAGGCAATAAAATGAGCATTTTCACTCTACTTTAGATAAAAAATGAAAGTGTAGACACTGTAAAGAACAGTCCACCGTGACAGAAAAGATAACTGTGCACTGTGTGAACCCAGTCAAATGCCAGACACTTTTTTTCCAAATTGAATTTGTACTTCAGACTCTCTGCACTGAAATGGCACTACACAGTCATGTATCAGAAATGGCTATACAACCTGTGTGTACAGGTGGCATATTATGATGAAATAGCTGGCTTATATGAAAATGCTCCAGTCATGCTCTGCCAACCTCTTACAACGGCGAATGTAGCCAGTGCCTTTGCTTTAAATAACCACTGTCCTACAGCTGGTCTAGAAGCAAGCCAGAACCAAGAGATGTTCTGTGCCATCTGTTCAGGCAGCACTCCAAAGAATTGCTGTTGAGTCCTTACATGTGATGCTGCTCTTCCAGGTACAGAGAGTACACAGCTTTGCTGTAGAAACAGGGCCTGTATTCAAAGTGCATATGATGCTAAAGACAGCAACGTTGTAGAAACTTGCAGGGAACTTGTAAGCTGACCCTATACAGTCATCTTTAAAAAAGTATAGATTAAATGTGCTAAGGAAATAATTGCATATCGCACAGTAGAACAAGCTTTATTAAGAAGTGGGGCACAGCAACATAGCAAGGATTAGAAAAGATTACTTTCACTTTTTAGAGCAGACAGGTGTGCATTGCCTGAGGAATGCTTTGGTGGGAAAGAAGCCCTGAGACACTGTTCCTTTTCTTTCTGTTTGCATCCAGAACAAGAGAAAAGTGAAGCGAGAGGGAAATTAACCGCACTAATTGTCACTAGTTCTGATTTTGAATGTAAGTTTAGATTAACATGTCTCAAATACAAGATACTGCTAATATTCCTTGTCTAATCTCTGTGCCGTGTTTCTCATTCGTTGCTGAGGTTCTCTCAATCTATTTGCACGTAATTCTCTATTCCCCATGACTTTGGGAGAGCAACCTGAACTGATGCAACATGAGCATCAGAAGTATGCTAAAAAAAAAATCTAGAAATTACAACCGTGAGCAGGATAGGTTGGAACATCTAAAATTTATCAAGTGTTTTTGCCAGCAAGTAGAACTCTTGACTCTGAATTCATGCACAATGAAAAGGCAGTTCTATCTCTGAAGCACATCCAATATCACTGTATCTGTGAACAAACTCACACCAAAAAGTCCCACTAGAAACTGAACATTTATGAACTGTTCACTCCAGGAATTGTCCAAAGTCAATGGAAAGGATATTTATTTCAAAAACCACCTCACACACAAGAGCAAAGTGCTTGTCTGAATGAAGCTGCATATATTTTAAAAAAATATTTTTAAAAAAGTTGAGATTTGTTTTGCTTTTAAGTCTGTTGCCTTTAGCAACCATATTAACAATATAAGCCCAGTTATCAAGCAACCAGCAATACCCAGGAATGAAAGGCAAAATGGAGTGCATCTTATTTTCAAATTCCAATAAGCATTAAGGCCTTACATGTTGTCATTTAACCATATGTGCCAATAACGTGTCAGTCACCACACACACTTTGAAAAATGAAGCCACCTACTAATGAAGAAACATGTATCTATGAACTGCAGCTAGTCTGTTATATAACCACCCATCAAAAGGTGAATATCAGAGAAGAACATCCTGCATGTATATGCACCCTTGGATGTATACGTTCACAAACAAACTGTAATTTTTAGGCACTGAGGAGGATGCTTCACAGTTCTGCTGGACATCTCATGCAGACAGAACAGCCTAGAGAATCACAGACACAAAACAGTACAAGTGGGAAACACTAAACAGCAATTTATCTAGCTCTGGATATAAATAAACGACAATGTATGACAACCCAGCAGTGCAGAACACAAAGGTGAATCTTCCTTAAAATCAGGTTCCTAAAATCTCATTTCCAGCATGACCATCCACTAACACTAGATATGTTGATGAGTAATGTGCTACTGGTAAGCATTTAAGCTTTAGCATGATATGCATACAAAAATATACATCATCATTGATATCAAATCTACTTTTATATTTTTATAATTACAATACAGCAGGCTAAGTTCATAGTACCTATCATATGCATAAATTTAATATGACTTCTTATTGTAACAAAATCTTGCTTTGTGATCCAGTCAAGTTTCATGTCTCGTTAGATTTACTGAGATATTTTAAAGTCAGTAATAACGAAGGATTTCCCATCTGCATCATTTGGCAAGTTACACATTTATATACAAAATGAGGAAGAAAACACTTTCTGAAAAATCGTTAGGAATTTCAAGACTCCTCCATATCATTATAACTTGTTCAATTATTGCATGTCAAATGAAAACTGTCACTTTATTTTTACCACACTAAGAAAAAAATATGACTCTTTAAATAACAAAAAGGTCACAATTTGCCATGGTTTTTAGAAAAATCTCAGTAATGAATGATCAAATATGGAAAATAAGATACATTATATTTCAAAACAGTAAAGAGTCTAAGCTAAATGTGGAAATTGTTATTGCTGTATATGTAGATTTCATCTGTTTTCTACTGGGATGGGAAAAGCTAAGTTAAATTGGAAAGCAAATAATTACAGCTACACATTCTAGTAAAATAGGAAAACGTAATTGCAATTAACTTCAATTGATGTATTATTGTTTGACGATGAGTTAGGAACTTGTTAGCATTTTCTGAACTAGCAAGTGCAAATACCTTCTGGAGCACATGATAAAACGTTGCCAGAGAAAACAGATTTGAAATGTTTTGTCTTCAAACCCTTTGAATATCCATAGATTATGTTTTTATCATTAATTTCACTTTTTAGATCACTATTAAAATAACTTTTTTAAGCAACTGAGAATTTAGATTACTCCATGGAAGAAAGGCTGGAATCAGCATTCAATTGCAAGTTGCCCTTTACTTTTAACAAAGCACATAAGGAAGACAAAAGAAATATCTTTGCTCAGATATGCGACTCAGTACTATACAGGATCTCACTCCTGACAGAGGCATTCTTCCTCCAGCATCCAAGAAAAAGTGACTCCTTTGATCAGCTCGTTTGTTACAACATTAACACCACGCAAAGCTAGAAGAGAATAATGCTACCAGGTATATTTTCCCTATACAAAAGCCACTGTGGTTAAACTCGCAGATTCCAGACAGGCAAAATGCTCCATGTTATGCCCATCCCTGTGAATTAAAGCAAGTTCACAAGGATGGAAATTAAGCTCGGCTATAATGTGTTTTCCTTCTGGGTTGCTGGATAAAGCGTGAGCCCAAGGAGATGCAGGATGCAGAGTGTGACACTTTGTCTGTGGATGAGTCCACCCATCCACGGGAAGAGTGCAGTTTCGCATGCACTGACATAAAAACCACACAGTGAGATATCATGCACTTACCATTCGTGTAAGGGTTGACGGTCTTTTTATTTGTCATTACACGTGCTGTTGCATTATTTACCTAAGCACATAGAACACTGGATTAGAAAGGGTTACAAGGATGGCCTGTGGTATTATTAAATGCATGCATTATCATTGCTATTAGTCATGTAAAAAATAAAATGCAATTTAATTTATAGAAGGCAACAGGTGCATAACAAAATCATACTATTTATAATTACATTTACTTTCATAACCATTTTAACTTACAAATCATTTCAATAAAGCAAAGTCATATCATTTAAACTTTAATAAAAAGACATTAAAAGCAAATTAAAAGGTACTGCATAATTTAAGACTTAAGAGCATGCTTGTATTCCATGATAACACTGATACAATAAATATTCAAAACAGAAAAAAAAAAGATTATATGAAGGAACATGCAGTGGAGTAGAAGGGAAATAGACAAGGTACAAGGAAACAAAGAAAATGTCAAAAAAAGGGACAAACGAATTTTAGCAGTGTGCAACATAACCCTTTAGAAGAGAAGTACCATTGGAAAAGCAACATCTAGCATTCAACACTTGGAACAAGAGCCTTTTTCATTGCAAGAATTAACAAAATCATTCAAGCTTTAAAATCACAGCTAACAAAAGGATAAAAAGAGGGTGCATTATTTAACACAATATGGAGTTAACAATCTGAGTAAGATGTGCACGAAGTCATATCCTCAATCCAATCAGTGCCTCCCAGGCTTGCTTAAAACGTACACTCAATTACAGGCGTACCAATATAGAAAAAAATGTAGCATCAAGAAAACTTAATACAACAAGTCAAAAAAATTCACGTGGTATATCAGCGCTAAATACGTGAAACGGCAGATGGACTTCTCCACTTACCATTCAGCACCATCGCCAGCATGGGTATGTATACAGTTACCATGGTTACTGAGAGTTTGGTGAGGGCCCTAAGCGCTACCGTCGAAGGGGGAAAATGAAAAGGCAAAATATGCAACATCTTACTCAAAAGACGACAGCATTTTCAATTGGTATTTTTTTTTTTTTTTTTTAATTCTAACAAATACGACTGAGGCAGTATTGAAGGGGATCCAGTGGTCCTAAAACAAGTTTGTATTGTTTCTTTTATAGATACAAGTAACTCAGGCCATCCAGCCAAAGGAGCCTGATGGTTTCAATAAAAACGAACTCTTAAAATCAGTTGGTTTCTAGTCTGCCTTTGTTTCTTTTTCTTGCACATCTTTTGGATGCTTCTTTTCCAATCTGAATTTTTTTGAAAGCCACTGTGGATCCCACATCAACCCTGCAGAAAAAAATAAAAAAATAAAAATAAAAAAAAAACAAAACAAAAACCAAAATCAAAAAACAACCTTTTGTTTGTTTTTGTTTTGTCTGTCACACAGTTTTTTTGTTGTTGTTGGCTGATTTTTTTTTTGGGAATCTACTGCACCCATTGATTCACAAAATATCCAAAATAATAACTTCAAAATATTAAAGCCGCTTTTTTTTTTTTTTTCCTCCAATTCCACCTTTCAGCAATAATGATAATAATAATAATAATTACAAAAGAAATAATAATAAAAAACCCAAGTAAGGCCAGATTCTCTCACTTTATATATAAATATATATATAAACAATGGGAAGGGGAAAGGGGAGCACACAGAAGACACCAATGATGCATCTGAAACAACAAATGAGAGTGAAGCAGACATTTATAAAAAAGATGAAAAGGAAAATATTTTGAACATGCACCTCGATTTTACGGCCCTCTACCACGGTGCCGTGTAATTTCTCCCTCGCCCTGTCCGCATCAGCACTATTTTCGAAAGTTACGAAACCAAATCCCTGCATGCAGGAGGGAGAAGGGGGGAAAACAACATGCACATTATTATTTCAGTCAACGACCACTTGTTTGCTTATGTTCTCTCTCTTTAATTTAATATTTTCTTGTCCTTGCTTCATTTCTGTAACATGCAAATTAGAAAAATTATAATTGTATTGAGATGTGCAATAAATAAGCGACAAATGTGAACAAATTTTTTCTGTTATCAATTACATAATACCCTCTGAGAAATTCAAAGAATGATACCAAAAATACCTTTCTACGTGTCACTACAGAGGAAAATAAATCTAACAATAAGAAAATTAAATCAAAAGAAATTACAGTGTCTTCACATAGAAAAAAAAAATGAACTAATGAGAAAAGAAAATGAATCACATTTTAACAGCATGCAGATATCTCAACAAAATAAAAAACATGTGCACAAAATTCAACACTGAATGTCAATATACTCTAAAACATTGCCTACTTAATCATGCTTTTGTGATCATAAGAAACACTGTTCCCATGCAACACTAGGGTAACTTAAACTTTTTTCAAACTATACAGCCTTTACTTATTTTTTTATAAAAACAAAAAGAAAAAAAAAAAGAAAAAAAATAAACCACCAACAAAAGTACTTTCAGAAGAAAGAAGAAAACTTCCTTGTATTAACAGATCAAATAAAATCACATGATGTGAACAGAAAAATAAACTCCAGTAAAAGAATAAAAATGAAAACGCTTTGAGTAACTTTAACTGGTTTATTTACTATTTCTATATTTTACTTCCCACATGCAACTGGTAGGACTCCAGAATCCCATGTTAATGGGACAGGAGAACACTCGACTAATATGAAATTCTCCGCAGGACAAATACTTCACTTTATAACATCAGGCTAAGTAAACATTTCCAATCCTACTAAAATCATTTCTATTATGCTAAGTTAAACTAAGCATTGTTTACAAATATTTAATGTAAAACTGTTGTAAACACTTTTCAAATCAGACATTATAAAACATTCTAGAAACATACACCAACCCTTTGAAATAATTGTTACGATAGCACTACAATGCCTTTGCAAGCTTTCTTGAATAAACTCAACTTCTATAACCCTGAATGCTTCATAATTACAAACACCTGCAAGTTGTACATGTCCATATTTTTAATTAAAGCATTGCTGCATTTATTTGAAGTCCTACTACAACCTTTTTCTTCAGTTTTACTTAAGGTTTGCTTTTGTTTTATCGCTCAACAATAAGCCATGCATCATATCTATCATATTGAGGTTGGCAGCCTTGCATGCAGCAGGGGGGCTGAAGCTTGATGATTGTTGAGGTCCCTTCCAACCCAAGCCATTCTATGATATTTCCTTAAGCTTTTCCTCCTGTTCATCCTCATTCTGCAGAATGTTCACTGAATGAGGGGTCAGTATTCAATCATTTAGCCTCTGAAGTTCTACCTATTATTTACACAGTGAGTGAAAAAAAAAAGAGGACAAAAGGAGGATACTTATCCTTTTCATTGCAAATAGATAGCCAAGGCAAAACTAAGTATTAACACATAAAACACTGAGGAAAATGATGGACATGAACTACAAAAATAATGCATGGACAAAACAATTTGGAGAAACTGTCAGGATTATTACGTGGGTGTTCGCCTTATTTTGCCTAATAAACGATCATATTGATGCATGCCAGTTTATAACATTGGAGGAGATTTCCATACAGTAGCAGCTTCTATCTGATTCTCTCCAAAATAGTTTAAACATACAGAACATTGCTGCTCTTGTTTTTTATTTATTTTTATTTTTCTTCATTTTAAAGCCACACTGAAGACTGAGCTTGCAAGGGCTCCATCAGCATTCTCAGACCACATGACACCACGTATTTTCTCCACTCTACCCTCTGAAATTTTAAGACAAAGCCACGATCACAAGACAATGAGCACATTATTATTTTTCCAGAAAAAAAATAGTGGTCCTCAAGGGAAAGTAAATAAGCTTCCTCAGTATTAATCTTTACATTTTAGATGCCTGCATAGACCTTACTTTAAGCTCTAAATATTTATTTCCTCATTATTGCTACTCCAAAACTCTGACGTTGTAGAAGTTCTTTCAAAAAGCTTATAATTTAGAAGACCACTAAGAAAACTTCACAACAGAAACCACTGCTGATCCAGCAATGGTGAGAACCTATTTCCACACAGTTCCATACATCATTTTTGCTTTTTCTCCATCCTTGCTGCAGAACCACCCCACTCTCATAGGGGAGCCGTTTACAAAATTTAGAATCATTCTCACTGGCTCGCAGTGCTGCCAGTTAATTTTTTTCAAATAACTGAATGGAAAGAAAAATCTAATTATATTATAAAACTGGAAAGAGATAAAAAAAAGTGGAGCCACAAGACAAGACAAGAATTTCAAAGATTCTGAAATAAATATCCACTGTATTTTTTTCAATCTTTTCCTATAACTGACACTATTGAAATCAAGATTTTAATTTTTATGCAAATGGATAATTTCACCTAGATTACCAAGAAACTCAGCCACCAACCAAAGATTTCTACATCCTATATATATATAGGAGGACAAACACATTAGCATGCATTTCACATGCAGCTGATTCAACAGTCAATTTGGCTTACCAAATTATATATTTTATTAACCAGTAATGTAAATTTCTTCGCTTTATTTTTAAGTCTGTCAAATGACTTAAAAACAGTCAAGTCTGTACAAGACAAATTTCTGTTTTATTTTAGGAGATGCATCGGAGCTTTTGTTATTTGAGAAATAGCTGTTGCTGTAATATACAGCAATTATATAATAATACATACACACCAAGAGATTTAAGCCAGCATACATGTAGTATATAGATCGCTGACTAGAACACTGATACACAGCTGTTAGCTTTTGTACTCAAACTTACTGAGATCAGTCAGTAGCCCTTTCAGATTCAGAGGGATTGAAGTTTTAGGAGAATATAGATAATCACTGCTAGGAACGAGACTTGAATCAAACGCATCTCAAATCCTACAGAAGAACTTGAAGTGATCAGATAAAACCCAAACATATTCTTGTTGTTCATGACATTTTTCATTATTGACGTGTTTTCACTACTATAGGATCACTAGCGAAAAACCTCAGTTTAGAAATATTTCCCACCTCCCCAAAAGACAAATTTATGCTGTCTGATGCAACCATGGAGGCTGAAAGTCCTGTGTATGCAAGATTTAATGGCTGAACAAAGGTATAACCTACTACAAATCATTTCCACTCATTTCCACCCAGACCGAGTGAAGGTGGCAAGTGCAGGATGTCATTTGAAATTTATAAAACTATCTAGTAGGAACAGGCTCTGCAAAATCAACATATTTTGCAAAAACTACGCAACCTTCATAATGTAATGATGACATGTTTCAGACAAATTAGGAGACTGTCACCAACTTAAAAAGATCACCTTCTAAGCCATTAATTTCCGTAAGTTTTGGTTGCTTAGTGAAGAAACAGCTAAGTGTTCAAATTGGGTTTTGGAGCGGTAGGCAAGGGAGCTAATTAATGAAGGTCAGAATAATTCTGGAATATGGACCAGAACGTTTTAAGCATTCTATTAAAGAAAGAGGAAGGATGTGAGGAGGTATAGTCCTTAAATGTAGAAGTTAAATGCTAACACATGAAAGGAAAAAAAAATTAAAATGTATCTGATTTAAGAGAAATTTATCATGTGTTTCATCTTAAAAGATGAAAGATCACAGAATAATGGAAAACAATTACTACTAATAATCATATATAAGTGTTGCTGGCAGACTAAAACATTAGCAGTCAAACATGACAGTTTTCTAACATGGGAGAAAAAGTAAAAAGATAGCATGCATATGCCATATACAAACTCTTATACCGCAGCTGATATAATAGGTGAAACATACTGTGAAATTGGCTACTGCTTGGAACCAGGTAATGAAGATGATGCAAGCATAATCATTCTATTTTGACTGATTTCTAAATATAGAGTATATTGTTTGAATTGGAAGCAAAGTAAATCTCAGAAAAAAAATTTAAATGTTTTCAGTATAATGAGAATCCTTTTAATCAAATAAATGATTAAACATTCAAAGGGTTGGTGTACTAAGCTTTTACTAAAGAGGAAAACATCTGCACTTAAATAATTTGAAACGATCGTATTTTCTCACTTCATTACTGAACAAGATAGTTAATAGGTATTATTATTATCTTCCATTTCAACAGGAAAAAAACTACTCTAATACAAACTCATCTAAAAATATCTTTAAGTATGGACTGATCTTATAAAATACACATGGTAATAATAATTGAATAGTAAAGAAAACAGATATCAACATTCCCATAAAACAAATGACTGTTTGAAGTAGCTTAAGTTACCTCTTTTAAAATATATGAGTCCAACGATTTTCTTTCTGCTTAGCAAACTAAATCAGAATGCGCTTTTCAATAACATTGAGTTTCAGATCTTACTCATTTTTTACATTAGTGCAGTTGTTTTCTTTTATTTGTTAAAAATATATTCAACAGGCTAAAAAAAAAACATCTTTGGGTGAATTAAACTGCTTACCTTTGAGCCTCGCTCATTAAAAATAATTTCAACATCTAAGATTTTACCAAATTGCTGCAAAGAAATAGAAAAGTTACATGAAAAAAAGATAATTTAATCAGTTCTATCATTAGTAGTACTAATGTTTGTTGCAGAAATTGATGCACTGTATCAAAAAGTTAAAGAATATAAAGTCAAGGATAGTCAAGCACCAGAAAAGACACACTGAAGAGTAGTCAGTACCATTAAATCAGGTACGTCAATGCCACTATGATACCATATATTCATTTATGAATTTAAAATTTATTGGGATGTTCTGACAGTCATCATGGAGCTGTAAACTGAATTGAGAGTCTGAAATTTCTTTTGTTACTGTTGCTTTTCTTTTCAGATAGTAGGTTACTTCCTGGTGATTCATCCTGTTCAATTGCCATCAGTGCTTTTTTAAGAACGTAATATGCTGTTGGGTTAATTTGTTTGGTGTAGGTTAAAATATCACTAGGAAGACAAGATTAATGGCCGGATGAACACTGTTACCCTCTGGTCAGCACACCCTCTAAGAACCTGTGTTTAAGAAGATTTTTTTGCTGTTGCTTTCCAGTACAGGTTTGTGTTTTACAGGAACAGGATGGAATCAATTGGGAATTTTGTCACTAGCTTCAAGGGAGTGAGGATTTCTCCTCACCACTGCATCCCATAAAGGGATATCCTTTATTCCCTGCGTAATTCTTGTCTTCCTAAAATGTAATTTGGCAAGCTAGAATAGATAATTAGGTGTTGGGGAATTTTCCCCCTCAGCAGGGCACTTTATTATAATATTAACTCTTAATTCCATTGATCTCCCAATAGCACAGTCACCTAGGCATTGCTCATTCACACAAAACCTGACCAAATATTTGACTCACACAACATTTAGTTACAGTTACTTTTGTAGATGGCACATTTTTGGGGATGCGACACTTGAATACATCAGTGGGTCATTTCTGTTTATTCTTATATCATTAACATGCTCTATTGATCAACGTTAACACTAATAAGTGACGTATACAATGATTAAACAAAAAGGCAGAAATTAGAGGCAGACAAATGAAGAATAAGCTACCAGCAGTGCAAGGAACTGCAGAAATCAACCAGTACTGCAGTTTTTTAAGATATAACAAACACAGGACAGAAAGGATAGCACTTCTTTACTTCATAAGTGATTCCATCTTAGTTATGAAAATCAACCATCTTTTGTTATCCCTTGTTTTACGTTCTTGTATTCACAATCTAGTTAACTAACATTTTAACTGCTATTTTAGCCTATAAGCAGACAATGGCTGGTTAAACAAATCCTTCTCTGCAGTATTCATGTCAATATAAAAAAAATGATCTGCTATGTGCATAACACAATCAAGATGCAGCATTATCATTTCACTTTGGATATTTCATTACTCGAACACTTGCAGAAATTTAATTTTTCCATCAAATCAGAAGCTAAAAGTTTTCTAAGTCATTCTAAAGCTGGAAAACTCCAGTCCCCCTATCTTGAGAACTAAGAAACAAATACTGAGAAGAAATGCAATTGCTATCATTTATAAATAACTAAAATCCCTAGACTTTCTTTTTTAATGTACTTTCAAATAAAATGCATCTGTTTTACTCTGTTTAAGTCAAATATTTTTTCCCCCCTCTAGAGTGTTACTTTCTAGAGGATAAAATGCAATGCAGCAGTTTAGACACAGGAACACAGACACCATGATTTCATATCCATATCCATAACAGGATTCTTTTTTTCTAGTGAACAATTTCTTTATTTTATACAAACAAATACTAGGAACATCTTAACACACACAAAAAGACATGAGAAGAATTTAAGTCTGAGCCAAACACGAGAGATCTAGAGAAAGATAATGGCAAGTAGTGTGAGGGCTGCTCCCAAAGTAATGCCTCCTATTTTACTGTGCTGGCCCACAATGGATTTTGGTGGGAAGGCAGCAAAGGTTGAACCTTCCCATCAATATTCTGTGACATTTTGATGCATTGTGACAGATGGCAGCAGAGAGGCACTCTGACAAAATGGCATCTGATGTGGAAATGCATATGAAGCAAATATGTGTCACTGAAACCCTTCATGCAATAAATAAATAAATAAAATAAAGGCACCCACTAACATTTATCAACACTTGCTGAACATTTATGGAGACCAAACAGTGGATGTAGCACCATGAGGTAATGGATGGTACATTTCAGCCGTGGAGAGAGTTATGTGAAAGACAGGCCACGTTCTGGACTGCTATACATGGCTATCAACCCACAAAATGAAGAACATCATGGCCAGCTCTTCTAGGTGAATTGATATAGTACAACCTGAGAACTGTGTATGGGGCTGAATATTGGCTTCAGTGCATTGGAAATGGTGGCAAGGTTGAAATATCACCAAGTTTGTATCATTCCACAAATGCTTACACAGGAACAGAAAGAATACCATACACAAGTTTTTGAAGACCTGTTGATCCAGTACAAGGCTGAAGGTGAATGTTTCCTGTACTGCATCATTATTGGTAGTGAGATGCAGTGTCACCACTATAAGCCGAAATCAAAACAGCAGTCCACCAAGTAGCGACATGTAAATTCCCCACTGAAAAAGTTCAAGACAGAACTTTCAGTGGATAAAGTGATGTGTGTTGTCTTTTGTGACAGGAAGGGAGTTATCTTCTGGTTTTCATGGAACCTGGACAAACCATCAACTTTGACCGGTACATCACGATGCTGACAAGGGCTTAAAGAATCAGACCAGAAAAGAAGATAACCTTTCTCTTGCAACACAGCAACTCCAGGCCATATGCCAGTTTACAGAACGTGGAACACACTGTCAGTATTGGCTGAACTGTCCTACATCCACCACATAGCCCAGATTTGGTGCCTTCTGACTTCTATCTGTTTGAACTAATGAAAGATGTGCTGTGTAAACAACATTTCTCTAGTGAAAAAAACATCAACTGCAAAACAGTACGGCAGCTCCACTGGTGCATATTTTTTGATTGCAGCAAGTGGGCGCTCTTTCATCGCTGGAGAAAATGCATAGCTAATTGTTGTGACTATGTTAAAAAAAAATAGTGTTTGGAAGTTGGTAATTTGCTCTATCAAATAGTGCAATTATTTGTAGCTGTTGTAGTTTCCATTCAAATAAATAGAAGGCGTTACTTTTGGAGCGACCTATGTACTTCATGTTGTGCTATGTAACTATAACAGAGAAGAGATACAGGTTTTGGTGAGTCAGAAAAAAGAAAGGAAGAGATACACAAATACTTGAGAGTACTTGTTTGGAAAAGGAAAATCTGTGTTCTAATAGCTGCTCAAGTACTGTTTCCAGATTTTACTTAATAAGTTTTCAAAAATAAACCTAATAGTTCTTGGAGCAGGGAGAAGAAACCAGGTCTAACCTCTCCATGGTTATGAGCCTAGAACTGATGGCACGTATGAGACGTGTGAAACAGCCAATGCACATGAAGGTAGCTGATGGCCTGAGCAAAAGCAAAAATTGAGAGACTTAGAGAAATATAACGTCAAAAAGTTTAGAAGCCTACAGGTCTATAGTACCTATGGGAATAGGCAAGGATTCCTATGCCTGGACTTCTTGCTTAAACCCAGCCCATGTCTTACTGTTTAGAGATTCAGTTCTCTTGCTCATCAGGTGAAACATTGATTACTTCATATTACACTGTCCAAAAATCAATAAATCAAGCATATAAGTCCAGATGAGTACAGCAGGAGTATGTATACACTGAATATTTTTAGCCAATCTAGGTAGCTATTTTGGAATGAAATATAGGTAGCTGTTTCTGAACGAAATGCAGAACTACAAAATAAATAGAACACACTAATTTGCACATATGATGAAATTAGAAGTTTTTTCCCCCAACTATCTGATTTGTCAGTCATGTTTGGATACAACTAAACGAAAAGAGAATCTCCAGTGAAAATGGTTAAGCAGTCTAAATCATAGATATCTCTGTCAACATTGCCTGTAATATAAAGTCCTTCTTGCAATGCAAACGTAGAAGAGCATAGACAAAGTATTAGTACTTACACCAAACATTTGTCTAAGATCTGGATCACGGAATCTGAATGGTATATTTGAGACGTGAAGCCGTTTTGGCTGTGATTTGTTTTCTGTGTTTTCAGAAGATTGCGTCTGTTGCTGACCATCGGTCTGTGCTGCATCTTCTGTCTGCTAGAAGGGTAAAACAAAACAACGTAAAGCACGCTGCAAGCGCTTCTGCATTTTAACGTAAATAAAGTGGCGGGCTTAAAATCCAGTCAGGCAAAGGTGCTGAAGGATAACAGAATTTGAAATGAAAATCAAATCCTTTTCTGTATCCTTCTCAGTATATGCATTTGGTGACAATTTTAATACGCATTTTGAATAAGTCAAAGAGAATGAGGGGTATTATTTTCAGTGCTGATTTTCTTAGCTTTTTCTAAATAATGTCTCCCTATATTACAAGGCTGTTGACGCTCTATGTCCAAATAACAGTGTATTTACAGCAGCAAGCTACAGACTAACAAACAAGAGTAGTGCTTTCATTCTGAGGCCACTGGAATTTCTACACAGGAGGTAGGTAACACATTACATCCAAGCTGCCATTTCATAAGCAGTGCTAATAGGTACCAGAGAGTCATTTTGTCCAGATAAATGGTCACCATCGTGAAAAAAGCCTTGAGTTGAGTTGTGAAAAGGAACAGAAGTATAACCAGTGGAGATTTTACAGATTTTCTTTCTCACCAAAATAAGAACAATAAGAACGTAGGACAGTACTTCTTACGGGGATAATGTATCCTAGTTTTAAAATGCAGTTTTATAAAAGATGGACACTGCTTTGCATTACATTTTAACAAACGGAATCATAAACCCTTAGAGGGATTAGGGAAAACAGAAACACAGTCATTCGAAACACAAAACTAACCAACACTAGTCTACCGGTATATTACAGAAACGTATGGGTTGCATTCTTTAATGATATCACACAATGTCTTATTCATCTTTGTGTGTACAGCACACACTCAGTAGAAATAGATTTTGCACAGGTCTGTAAAATCAACAGTTATTTGCTTCTGCTGTGGTAGGAAAAAAAAAGAATAGGAAAAAAGCAGATTAATGAAAGTGCAAGGATATCTTACAACTCTATTTTCTCCATGCTTCCTCTTTCTTCTGATCATATTCTCCTTCGAAATATTCATTTTTCCCTTGTGTTCTAATGTTACAGTTCAGTCTAAATTTGACTTTTTTATGTAGAAAAAAAGTCATCTCCCGTTTCCTGCTGGTATCAAATTTATTTTAATGGACTTCCATTTAAGGGAAGTAAAATGGTTAAATAAAATGAACCTTACCATAGCTTTAGTATCAATAAGCCTGCTACGAAGGAGGTAAAATAACTCAAACAGAAGACACCACTTACATCAGCGATGACTACACACAAACTTAATGCTAGCAAGTGAAGTTCAACATCATCATCCCCATGAAAAACAAACGTTCTCCAAGTACTAGCACGTGCAATTTCCTGTATTGTTCATATTTCTATGCCATTATTATTGCTTTAATAACCATCAAGAAAAATAAACTACTGTTGTACAGTGATTTGTTGCAGAGAGATTTTCTGAGAACTTTTCTTCTAGGTCATTTGCTATCTTCTCTTTAAAGACCCTGAAAATCTAGTTATTTTAGACAGGGAAATTTAAACTGAATCTTCAACTCTGGAAGTACAATGCGTATATTCTTATCCTTGCTCTACAGCCAAATTCCTTGATATGATTTCATTTAAGAAATGTGACTGTGCTTCACTGAAAGATAGATAATAGCAACAATATCTTAAGCAAAGACAGGATAAATTATACCTCCATGTAAACTAGCTATTTCAGCACTATGCTGTGAATAAAAGTTGGAACAGTTCTTTCTAAGGGATAATCCTTTAAAATAATTTTTTATTTTTTTTCAACATTGATGACTTTATTACCAACTGTTAACATTTTACAATGTGTGCTTAAATAGCACAGGTGCTCTTAAGTATATCCATAAGTAACCAGCTTCGATGTCTGAATCAGAGGTCTAAATCTCACTGTAGTCACTAATCTCCTCAAAGAATTAGTTCTCAATTTGGGACAAATTAGAAAAAGCAAAGGAGGTGCAAAACAACTTATCGAGGGGACAGGAAAGGGAAAGGGACACAATGAGGCTCAACGCATATTTTCTTTTCTCACAAAACCGCCTCATCGTTGTACTGCAGCTCCTCTCCCTTCAGTTCAAGTGTGCTATAACAAACAGCCCACTGAAATTATCCCAGTTAATAAATAGGGAAAGAATTTCAAGGCTTTATTTCGTGTTTTTTCTGCTGTAATCCAATCTACAGTGTATTTCTGCCAACTGCTGAATGCCAGTAGCTAAATGGAGTAAGGATTTTCTGAAGGAAACAGACCTAACCTGCACCAGTATCAATGGCTGATATCCTCATTTTTTTTCAGAAGCACCAGTTCACCAGTAATGTCTATGCTGAACAATGCTGCTCAGACAACAAAACAAAACAAAACAAAAAACAATAAGGTGCTCTAAAGACTAATTTTCAAGTGATCCAACTGTAAGTCTAGAACTGTATGTTTTGATCTGCTGCTGCCTGAACTCACGGGCAAAACCAAAGAAACTGAACAGTTCATCCTTAAGTATTTCTCATGATTTAAACAATAAAGCAAGAATTTAATTGTTGGAAAAAGGAATCCCCAACAACCTTTTAATATGGCACCTAAAATCAACTCAAAAATTCAGAGTTTAAGTTTTAGGAAGTTATTCCATCCATAAAATCAGCAAAGATTACTTTTCACATTCAGGCCTTAAAAGGAGAGAGATATGATAGAAACTTGGCACACAAGAGCAGGTAGCAAACGCAGGAGAGGAAAATACTTGAAGTATAATGCTTGCAAAGAATTTAAGGTCAATGAGATTAATCTGAAGATAATTAAAGAATTGTGAAGGTGCTGTTCAGCTTCACGAACAAAGGCTGCCCCGGGAAGAAATTATATAATCAGCTTACTGTATAAATGCAAATTGGAAAAAGTAATTTCTGTTCATTGTATTAATATAAATGATGAGAAACAAGGAGCAGAAGGGCTGAACTGTGCACTATCAACATACCAAAATGTCAGGAGCAACTTCTGTACTGAGAAATTTAACATACATATCAACACAAAGCAAATTTATTTTACCCTTTCACAGAAAACTGAAATTTCCAGTGAAGATCATTTAAGAGTTCGGGCAACAGGGAATGAAAATTAGAAAGTTTAAAAAGTTGCCATCATCTACGATTCATACCTGCAAATGTCTTTAAAAAGTCTAAAAGAGAAAACACGTAAAGTGCATTATAAGATGTGACATCACAACTGTATCTTTTCAAAGTGCATCACCATCTAGAAATATACACACAGGCCTAGAAGATCTGGATAAGGGTAGTTGCAAAGTGAAATTGAAATAAGAAGCTTATGAGAAAACTTCCAAGTAACACCAAAGAGGTAAATGCACAGAGCATACAATCTGGATTTGATGAAGTCCTAAAAAGGAAACTCTCAAAGCCCTGTGGAGGTGGAGAGCTACAATGCAATTTAACTTCAAAGAAATACTACATTTCAAGACAGTATTTTTACTGCTAGAAGATATAAAAATTGTGTTTATCTTGAGAAATTAACTGAAGTTAGTATAGAAGTATGCCTGTGGATTAGCATGCAATCAGTGCAGGTCCTGATCCATTAAGGGTCTGTTCTCTTTTAATATCTATCCTAATTCAATCAAGTAAATTAGTATGCTTTATTCAAAACAAATAAAAACTTATTTACTCTTTATCATTAGACAGAAATAATACAAAATGCACGGCAGTCTGTGCGATGACCTTATTTCTTCTTTTGAGTACTAAGCTGTATCAGATTTACCTTTGCATACCAGGAAGCTATGAGTTTAACTTAGCAAAGACATCACAATACACACACTGATTATTCAATGCATTTCAGTACTGGAACTATCTACCATTGCCACTTCTAAACAAGTGCATTAGAGACATTTGGCTAAATATCTTCTAAAACAATTACAAAAGAAAAAGTATTTATTTTTTTATTTTTTACTTTTAAAATAATCCTACAGAGCTTGGTTAGAAGATGGTTTTAAATCTCAACTGTAATCATCACATTCACATAACACAACTGATTAAAAACACAGTTATGGATTCATCATGTATCCACATGGTCCAGCTATGCCAGGCTGTTTGACGTTCTCTTCTTGAAACGTATCTTTCAAGAAAGATATAGTCAAACCACTGCTCAGTCAGAGAAAAAAGATTCAAGCTCTTGCTGTTCATACGGAAATTCATCATTATCACCACAGCCACAGACCTTGTTTCTGTCAGTCACAGCCTTCTTGTGCGCATCAAACCACTGTGCTATCTAAGCAAATGTGGTTGAAGATCATTTGGAAGGACAATACTCAGACAACGCTCAGAGACATTTAGTGGCAAGAGGCTTCCCTTGTAAAACTGGTTACTACGTTCTTTTATTTGTTCAATACCCCAAACTCCACATAAGGCAATAACACTATAATGTTCATAGGCCAATAGCCTCAAGGAATAGTAAATAATAATCCTGGTCAGAATTTCTTGATTACTCCCTAGAATGGTAGGATTCATTTACTCCTCATTTTGTTGGAGGTAAAATTAGCATTTGCCAGAATATCTTAGGTAGACCTGGTGGGTCAAACCTGCTCTTACCGTCTTCCAGAGGCAGACATCCCACAGGCAGCTATTCCATTATTTCTCTTTTCTTACTGGAGTTCAAAAACATTTTCATCTCTTATATACCATATGTAAAGTGGAGTAATTAAGATGATTCCCTTTAGTCTCATCTTTTGCCTGACAACTACGGCAATGGTTTTATTCTATCCTCCTTGGTACCACATTCTAAAGCGTTCTCTGACTTCTCCATTTAGTCCACGTCCTTTTAGCTGGTGCCTAATATCTCACACAGTATTCTATTTTAGGACTTAACATTTGTTGCTTGAATCATGAGGACAGCATCAGATATTTTCAAGATAGATTTCTGTCATGCATCAAGATGGTCCTTGCTTTTCCCCTATTTCTATTATTTTTGAGGATTTCTTTCCTTTTATTTCCCCCCTTCAACAGGATTACATTCATATTCATATAC